CAAGACATAAAGGAAGTCTCTAGAAGCTGTTAAAGGCCAAGGACTGATTCCTCAGGAGCTTTTGGAAGCATAGACCTGTTCACACCTTGATTTTAGCTCAAATGACTTATTTCTTTTGACTTCCAGAACTTTAGGTAATGAATTTGCCTAATTTTAGTTGATAAATTTGTAGCAATTTTTTATTAGTGGGAATGGAAATCATTACATATTGTTAAGTGAATGTTCAGCTGTGGAAGAAACTGCCAGACTTTCCCAAAGTGAATACTTCTCTTTTCCAAAATCTTACTCTTTCTTCAAGAGTTGCCACGTAGTCTACTTTCATGAGGCTTATTATTATTACTTAATCATGTATTTTTGATGCCTTTTAGATGCCAGAAACTGCTTTGGGAACAATGAACAAGGCAGCAAGGTCTTTGTTTTCACAGATACAGAATTCTGGAGAGAGTAAAGTTAGTAAACCGATAAACACACAAAACAGAATCATTTCAGATAGGGAGAAATAAATGGTATAAAGAAAATGCAGCAGTGAGGCCGGCACCGCGGCTCACTAGGCTAATCCTCTGCCTTGCAGCGCCGGCACCCCAGGTTCTAGTCCCAGTCGGGGCACCGGATTCTGTCCCGGTTGCTCCTCTTCCAGGCCAGCTCTCTGCTGTGGCCCGGGAGTGCAGTGGAGGATGGCCCAAGTGCTTGGGCCCTGCACCCCCTGGGAGACCAGGAGAAGCACCTGGCTCCTGCCATTGGATCAGCACGGTGTGCCGGCCACGGCGGCCATTGGAGGGTGAACCAATGGCAAAAAAGGAAGACCTTTCTCTCTGTTTCTCTCTCTCACTGTCCACTCTGCCTGTCAAAAAAAAAAAAAAAAAAAAAAAAAAAAAAAAAAACAGAAAGAAAGAGAGAGAAAATGCAGCAACAGCCTGAGTATTTGCTTTAGTTTGGGTAGCAGGAAGAGGCCTTTCTTAGGAGGGGAAATTTGAGCTTGTGGGGAGCAACTCGGACTAGACTAAGTTACTGGAATTAAGACTTATTCTGTGCATCTGCTCTCCCACAATATGGCGCTGGGAGAGGAGGCAACAGCTTCTACCCAGCTGCCTCTCACCAACTTGACAAGCTGCAGGAGCTGATCCTGATTGGAGGAGAGCAGCATACTCGGCGTGGGCAGCCGAGTTGGGATTGGTGGAAGAGGACTATAAAGGAGGAGAGAGACAACATGCACCAGGAACATCTAAGGGGAACATCTGAGGGAACACCTGTGCAGCCCCCGAGAGAGCCGGCCGGCGGTGTGCCGCTCCCCCGCGGAAGTGGGGAAAGTGGCAGGGGGAACCACCCTTCCACGGAGGTGGAAGGGACAGTAGCCAACCCGGGAAGAACCAGCAGCAAACCCGGGGAGGGCCGAGCAGACAAAAGAACAGCGCAGGGTCCTGTGTCGTTCCTCCACGAAGATGGGGAGCGACATAATGGTGCCGTGACTCGGATATGAAGCCTAGGCAGGGCTTAGTGTCGTTCCTCCACGAAGAGGGGGAGCGACAGAGCTGAGATTTGAATGTCAAGGAGCATCTGAAAATCTGCAGAAGGAACAGTCTATTTTTATTTTTTTTATTTTTTATTTATTTATTTTTTTTGACAGGCAGAGTGGACAGTGAGAGAGAGAGACAGAGAGAAAGGTCTTCCTTTGCCGTTGGTTCACCCTCCAATGGCTGCCATGGCCGGCGCACTGTGGCCGGCGCACTGCGCTGATCCAATGGCAGGAGCCAGGTGCTTCTCCTGGTCTCCCATGGGGTGCGGGGCCCAAGTACTTGGGCCATCCTCCACTGCACTCCTGGGCCATAGCAGAAAGCTGGCCTGGAAGAGGGGCAACCAGGACAGAATCCGGCTCCCTGACCGGGACTAGAACCCGGTGGGTGTGCCGGTGCCACAAGGTGGAGGATTAGCCTAGTGAGCCGCGGCGCCGGCCTGAAACAGTCTATTTTTATTTATTTATTTAAAGATTTATTTATTTATTTATTTGAAAGGCAGTTACAGAGAGGCAGAGAAAGAGAGATCTTCCACCTGCTGGTTCACTCCCCGGATGGCCACATTGGCTGGAGCTGCACTGATCCGAAGCCAGGAGCCAGGAGCTTCCTCTGGGTCTCCCATGCAGGTGTGGGGGCCCAAGCACTTGGGCCATCCTCTACTACTTGAAGTACAGTCTCAATTGGCACAACAGCTTATGAGTCTCCACGGATGGAGTAAATCACAAGCAGGTCAATGGGACTGGAGCACAATGAATACAAGTGAGGCCGTGGTTTGTCCTCATCAGAACTCGTGCTGAGATCTGATTGCCAGTGTAATGGAATTGGGAGCTGGTGGGTCCTTTAACAGGTGTTTGGGTCACAAGGTTCCACTCTCGTGAAGGGATTAATGGACTCCCCAATGCAGCTTAGCTGTTACAATGTCCCTTCTCCTTTGCATGAGCCCATTTGCCCTTGAGTCTTTCCTTCAGTGGTTGACTCAGTGCAGGCCCTTCAAAGAAGCCAGTCGGATGCTGGTGCCGTGCTTTTGAACTTCCCAACATCTGGAGCCATGAGCCAAAGTCAACCTTATTTCTTTATTGAAAAAAAAATGCCCAGTCTCAGGTAATCTGTTACAGTAGCACCAGAAAATGGACTAATATAAATAGGGAATTATAATAAATGAGATCAGATAGGCCAGGCATAGATCATTGAGCTTTACATAGGATAGGGTACGGAGTTTATATTTATCCCTCATGTAGTAGAAGCCACAGGAAGATGCCGAACAGAAAGAGGCAAGATCTGATTGAAGTTTAGAAATGATTCAGCTAATGATTGCTCTCACTGCTCTAAGGAGAATGGTTTGCACTGGGGAAAGAAGATTCAACACCAGTGAAGGGACTGATAAACTGAGTAGGTAGTGGAGCTGGAGGAGAGGTGACAGACTGTGGTGTTTGTGGCATATAGTCAACAAGATTGCTGCTGATTTTGCTAGAAGTGTGAAAGAAAAGAGTTCTTTGCTTAAAAGCTAGAGGGTACTGGTGTCTTCAACCTGGAGTAATTATTATTTGAGGTATATTTTACTAAGAGGACAGAAATATTAAATAAGCAAGTAAACTTATTAATCTTGGTGGAGAGGTTGTCAATTGACAATTAGTGGTTGGTCCTGGAGACATAAGTTTGGGAGTGATTAGTGTTTCAAATTATGTGCTTAGATATGATTAACTTGGAGGAGCAGAGAGAGAGAAGAAAGGGGTCAGACACTTTGACTTACAGATCAGGAGAGGAGGAAGAGCTTTTTTGAAAAAAGGAAGACCAAAAAGTAGCACTCTGTGAGGGTAGAAGAAGGCCAGGAGCATATGACTGTGAAGTCAAGGGGAAAATCAGTAAAGGAGCTGTAGACATTCGTGTTGAATGCTCTGAGATGTCCAATAATAAAAAGATTAGGAGAATGACCGAAATTAAATTGTGCCTGAGTACAACACGGGGAGAGGAAACAGGGGGCAAGGGAATAACTATGATTATGGGCGATGAGAAGAAGGAAATGCGGACATAAAATGGGTGACAGATGACAAGAGGATGAGACTGATCAACAGCAATATCATAATTTGCCCAGTGAGTATAATCTCTTCCTCTTTGAACTTTATTTTGTACCTCTTCGGAACATTTGTCTTGTGTTTTTGTTTTGTTTTGTTTTTCTACATCAGGAAATGAAAACAAGTTTGTTGCTGTCTCCTAGAGCACAAAGCACACAGTGTCACACAGAAGAGATTATCAATACTGACTCTAGGGGGCCTCTGTGTGATGATGGCAGAACCCTTTCTCTAAAGGCCAGCACAGTTTTGAACAGACAGGAGAACCCCAGACAATGATTTATTTTAGAGATCACGCTTCAGGGAAATCATAGATCATAAGACAAAGGTATACAGAAACAGTCAAAATTTATTTTCAGAAAAGATTCTTCAATCCTTAAATAGTATAAAAATAAACAGACATTTGTTTCAAGGTTTGTTTTACATAAATTAATTTAAATACACATTTGTCTGAGGCACGGAGACATTCACATCAAAGCCTGAATCCCCAGGTTCAGTCAGCAGGTTGATATCTATGACAAATCAAGGTCTCTGTTTAATCTCAAATCAGTGAAGTCAACAGTTTTCACACAAGACCTTCTAATCTTGACTATTTGTTTCTTAGATGCAAAACTTTTCAAACATAAAATCTTAATGAAAGATTCTCCTGAGTTATTTCTGTTTAATGAAGTTCACTTCATTTCTGCCTTCTTCCTAAGAGAAACATTTTTCAGTTATTTACACAAATACTGACGTTGTTTGTAATCAGTGCTTGATTTTAAAACATTATAACCTATAGTACTTTGTACAGAATATTTTCTTGTTAAATTATAGTTGAATGAATTAATGAACCACCCGCAGCTCCTTCAAAAATGGATAAATGCTCAGTCTTAGGTCACATGCAGACTAACATGACAGCGTCCCTATAGGGGTGGGTGTACAGATAAATCACAAAGACATAAACTCTGAACTTAAATATCTCAGTATGCCAGAGTTGGGTTCCAAAAAAATCCATCCACAAATCTTAATCCAATCATTTCTTTTGATTGTTTGCATAACAATTCAGAGAGGTAATCACAAAACAGATACATTGATTTTGACATAGTGAAAAAAAATCAACAATTGTAAGCTTAAACAGTTGTAACAATTATGTCTCAATAAAACATAAATAATTACCCTTAATAAATTAAGTAATATACAGTACCATTAAGTTCAGCTGACAGTGAGATGTGGAGTGCTGTTCTCATTATTGTTGAGAACGACACAGAACTGTTTGGTTTCATCTCTGGACAAGAAGGGGCCCTTGTTGAATAGGACTGTAACTTCCCTCCTGTCCAGAACCCTTTAGTTCCTTCTGAGTACCAACCTCTGTAGGCTCCTTGTTTATAGTTAAAATTCTCTATAAATAAAATCCTCTGCTTTGCACTTAAGATAAGTGCAGTTTTTTTTTTTTTTTAAGCGCCATATTTTCTCTTTTATTCCTCTTGGGAGGAACTAAATAGTAGTCCTGAGCTGAGGTTTTCCTGAAAACTGCAAAATTTCAAGTAAGAAAATATTGGTCGAATTCAAAGAAAGAAGAACTCTCATCTTCAAACCAGGAAAACAAACCAGAAGAAATACATCAGTTAGACAAGAGATTCTCTTAGCACAGAAGGCTGTAAGAGAAACAGTAAGAGGAGCAGCATGTGTGTGGCCCGACTTGGTTCCGATGCACAACTGAACTGGCTGATCAAGATTTGGGTGAAAGCAATGCCTGAATGGATTCAGTAATGCCTAGTGGATTCTGAAGAGGCATTTCCTGAGGCCACTGCGAAGTCACACTGTACAACAGAAAGTCTAAGAAAACAGCCCATCAGTGAGGCCAGCTTGGAAGTTCATGAACCTCAGAGTGAAGTCTGTTGAGTACCAGGCCTGTAGTACACACAAGGCTAAAGTAAAGTCTCCTTAAAGAGTTTAAACCCAAATTTATACTGTTTTGGTTTTCTTCTATTTTTATTGCTGATTGTAAATGTAGAAATTGCTATCATAGGTTTTGTTACTAGGCACAAAAACAAATTGTGGAATCTCTCTACAAAAAATATTTTAAGATAGGACCTCAGTGGCTCCACCACCTTACTACATTTGGCATTTTTATTTGAAAGGAAGTTGTAACAGTCACATTAGATTTTTACTCTTAGTGAAAATGCAAAGTCTCTTAGGCAACCTTTTAACCAGCAGTTTGTAGTATAATTTCCACTGATTTTAGAGATTTAAATCTATGAAAGTTTCCTCTATTGATGTGAATACAAGTTTATAACTTTGGTACAGAAAATAAAATAAATTTTTAAAAGTGATTCTACCCAGTGAATTTAGAAATTTCAAATTACTGTTTCAATGCTGCTTTAAAAAAGCAGACATGAAATTATTGATAATGTCTGAGCTAAACATTCCTTTAAAAACAGACTTGAATCTCTTTTTACTTGATGAAAGAGAAAAATGCCCTGTAGTTCTTTAAAATCCAGATGTTCTTTGCTCCTAGTGCATCATGGAAGAAACACAGATCTGACAGTACAGAAACCGGCAGTGTTTTCCATGTTGCAGTGACATTAAGCATTCAGACATCTTTGACTTTGTTCTTCTAACATCATAGGAATTTAAATTCAAGTAAAAAGATGTCAAAATCCATTTACCATTGGTTTATAAAAAAGAATGAAAACTTGAAGAAAATATGTCTTTAAAGTAGTGACATGGAAGTTTTCACGAGTATGAGCTCTTTCTCTGCAAGAAGAGTACTGCCTTCTGTTACAGAAGATGTCAGGTAACATCAGGAGTTTACTATAAATATTATTAAATAATTAAGTTAAAAGAACTGGCTCATAAATAAATAAATACGATCAACAGACGTCTACAGTTCAGTGGAGCGGCCTTTCAGCAGGACTGTGGGATTGATGTCCTCTAGCCGGGAGTGGGAGGCGCTCGCGTTGATGGTGACTGTTTTGGTGAGCTGAGGATCTGGGACGTTGAATGAAGTGAAGGGACAGCCCTTCACATTGTTGCAGATGAGGGACTGAATCGAGGCAGTGTTAACGATTTTGAAACCGACTTCTCCACCAAACGTGCTTGGCTTCCAGTAGTTAGGAGAACATATAGGATTACCCATCAGTCCTTTTAAGGAGAACGGTGCTCCCATTTCTACCATGGACTCCCCAAAGATGGCATCCGGGCGCGGTCTCTCCACCAGCAGGGCAGGATACAGTTCCACGGCATCAATGTCGCCGTAGAGCGCTTCCAGCTCGGCAGCCATCTCCTTCTCCCCTGGAAAGGAAAGACAGAGCACAGTGACGTGAACCGTGACCAAACAGACTGTGGTGTTACTCGGTTTACGCTCAGGTCCCCAGGACTTCCATGTGGCCCTTGATTCTCTTAGGAAAGGTTGGAAACTATTTCTCACCTGTAAGTTCCTCGAACGATTCATAGGGCTTCAGCAAAAAGCGTTTGCGGTACTCGTTAAGAGACTGGTATTTCATCTGCCTGCTCTGGTCAATGGAGGCCTTTGCTACTTTCTGCACCGCAGGCGGAACGTTCCTGCCACCGGCGACCTGTGGAAAATGAATGGCATGGTAAAACGGGATTTTTAGGCACATTTACTATGTCTGTCCTCTAGGTATCAAGTAGCTCAGGTCAATGCTCCTGGCTGAGACCTAAGCTATTTTTCTCTCCTGGAGAGAAGCTTTCATGTATCCCAACAGCAGCTGTGCTGAAAATTCAACAAGACAATAATCTAGAACTTTTGGCCTTTTAAGATGATAAAAATTAAGCTGAAATTCAAGTCTGAAATATTTATTTCTATGATCTGTAAGAGCATAGGATGTTTTTGAAAATGTCTACTTTTAAGGTATGGATACCTGTTATTTGCTTGAAAACTGGAGACTGAAATTTTAGATTTTTTTTTAACAAAAATTACCCTTGTTTTATGAAAATAATTTCACTAGCAAACTAGCTATTATCTTAGTAAGCTCAAGAAAAATAATTTCTATGGCTGAAATTCTAAAGTTACTGACCAGCCTTTTGTTTTTGTTTTTCAGAAACAACGCTTACCCTGCCAGCAATTTGCCTGGTGAATGATTCAACAAACTGGGTAAGTCCATGTTCCAGTAGTATAGAGTTGTTGTAGAGAAACTGTTGATAGTTGTACTGCTGGTCATCAATTTGAAAGGTGTCAGGCAGAAGGGGATGCCAGTGATAGAGTGTGTTAAACTCAGCAGCAATCCGGTTTTGGTACTGGAATTGTTGGTTGAAAAGCAGCTCTGGGTCAAACTTGAGTTTGAAGTGATAGCCACTCAAATGCTGTACATAGTCTTCAATCACAATCTTAATAGTCTCTCCTATTTGCACAAAATAATGAAGTAGGAACATTAACTCTTTGTGACAGCAACTGAAATGCAATTTTGTTAATTATTCCTTATTTTTATTTAATTTTTCCTTATTACTATCAACATAAAAGGTAGTTATATTATCAGACATGCTCACAGCTTGAATTATAGCGTGTGCTTTTCTCATTCACTATACATTTCCTTGGCACTCCTCGGAAACACAGCAAAGGTGACAATGTGGTTTTCTCTGAGGAGGAGGGTTTACTGCATTTTAAGTTACTTTCTTTGCTTGCTTACCTATCAGTATTAGCCTGCTTGTCTGGAATAGCTGCTCATCATCCCATTCTGGATGCTCCTGTTTGAGCACATCGCACACTCTGTTATGTTCCCGGAGCCAGATTGTGGCATACATCATCAAACCAGGCACCAGACCAAACACTTCCTGGCCCACAGCAAACTGCAGGTGCGCAGGGATGTGAGGCGGGTAGATCATCTCCACCTGCGTGTCCTTGACTGTTGGAGGATATACCTCTCCATCAATTACCTAAAACACAACGTCATAAGTAAGCACTAGGGAAAGAGTTAAGAAACGAGTTTTTATCATTGAGGATGTTAAAATATGAGAGTAAGGGATGAGTCATAAGTGATTCGTAGCATTCACAGGGAATATACCTGATATTTCATTTTTCCATCCTTGAAGAGGCGCAGTTTATGCTGTCTGTCCAGAGTTTCACCGTAAATATGATTTAAGTCCACCTAGAAAATTATGGAAAGTTGTTTAAATGTGTTACTGTTGAGGTGTTTATTATATAAAGTGTATTTATCATGAAATACTTTGATGTTTTATCTTTCTTTAAAATTTTTCAATAAAACACTTTTTAAAAAAACACATTTTTATAGCCACAAAATACTACATTAATGGATTTACACATCAAGGCTGCAAATATATATATATATATTATATATGTCTCCATCTCCTGTGTTTCAAGGAATTAGTATCCAATACGGAGCTTATGAGTATACCATATGCTTCATTCTAATCACATAGCATTTCTAACCAAAGTATCAGCAAATATATTATTGCCACTACATCCTTACTAATAAACCGAAGCTGTGTTTTGAGATCTAAGAGCTAATGCTGCAAAAGTCTCACCTTCTAATAATAACCAGCATAATCATGGCACAACCAGGTTTAGGCAGCACAACATTTTACAAGCTAAAATTTTCGACTATGAGACAAATTACAAATAATAAAAATATCTCTCTCACTGTCTAACTCTATCAAATAAAAAATATCTACATATATCTGCTCGAGTGTGTATATAAATATATATTATAAATATACATACACACACGTGTGGGTGCACTTTTAGTAAGTCACTGAATTAATGGAAACTCTCTGAAGATTTTCATAGTATAACATTTTTTAAAAAGGGGCCAAATGGTTTGGTGTGGCAGTACTTCATTCTACTTTGCTATGACTTTAATCTAATTCTGTCTCACCCCATGTCCCAGTCCTTTGGTGAAGGCTGGTCCCCGCTTAAGATCTGTCTTGAAGAACTGGTGGGTGAAGTGCTGGGCAAAGAATGCAAACATCATGTTGGTGCCCTGGGGGTCGGGGATGAACTTTCTTCTGAGGAGAAGTTTCTCCACCACGTCTTTAGAGTCAGGAAGTTCTTTCTTGCCTGAAGAATAAGAAAGCTATGATTAAAAAAAAATCTAAAAGTTCAAGGAGGCAGCCAGTGACCACTGTCACTTACAGCTGTGAACAGGATCATAATAGGAGTCCAAGTCCTTAGATATGGAGGGACAAATTCTCTTGGGACAACTTAATTGTTTCAACCAGCATTACTTCAGTTTTAACAAAAGCATGTAGAAATATGAAGACATTATGCCAAGAAGCCCGTTTACTTTTATGGGACAGTTTACATAAATTCATACTTGAAAATAAATCTCTACAGATAATCATAATGAAAAACCCATACTTTTGTGGACACATGGTGGTTTAAGGTGGCACTTTCTAGGTAGCTGTCCCATGCCCACTAGTTAGCAGCATCTCTGAGCACTTCTCACTCACCTTTCACACCCATGGGCGTTGGGCAGTCATCGGCCACAGGGGGGAGGGCTCTTGTGTAGTAGGAGAGGTTAGAGAAGGCTTCCCAGCTCTTGTAGTTGTAGTGCACATTATATGTTGGTGGACTGTCAATCATATGTGATCTGGCTGAAATTTTCAAGGCAAAAAAAATTACTTTATTTGTCTCTAATGCTCACTATCACTGCAAAATGTGCACAAGTGGCACTAGAAACCTTTACTCCAACAATCAGAAGTACTCTTAAAGCAACTCCACTCTAACGTCTGCCTTCACTTGGAATGCACCTGCTCTCGGGGCATTCCCTGTAGCCCTCCTGGTACTTCAGGTAACAACCCACTCACTGCTGCAGGGGACCCTGGCAGGAATGGCTGGCCCTGGCCCTGCCACTCTCTTTGAGAAGTACAGAGAGTTCTTTTCTTGTGGACCCAAGTCCAAATGAGCCATTTATTTGAGTGGGGGATCCATGGGCCCTCAACAAACAGCTGGCCCGCACCTCCCTTGCGAAGTGGCCAGAACAGTTGAGGTTAGGGGAGGTGTTCAGGAAGGCAGCATGGGACTGTCAGTGTTCTGGGCGGTGGAGACAGGAGACAAACTAAAAATGTCTCTCTAAAGTCATGTTGACAAGGCAGGATTAGGCTTGGTAAAACAGGGTGCCTATAAGGCACATTTTTCTTCGAGGAAGCTGAAAACCTTGGAAAGAGACTTGCACTCACATGTCAGCACGTATTTCATGATTGAATTTCGCAGGAAAGGAATGCTATTGACGATGTTCCAGACTCCCTTGAAGTGCGTAAGGATGTAGTGCACCGTGTCCGGAGTGGGTTTCAGGAGCAGTTTGATTCTGGTCAGAAATTCCGCTGCAAGAAGAGGGCAACAAAGGAGGGAGAAATCAGCAGGGCTCCCTATGAGACAGTCTGCGATTGCTAACGCTGCAGGCCCCATCCCAGAGGCAGGCAGACTTACGCGTGGAGCAGTTTTCACCGTAGAATCCGGTCCGGGTGCAGTCGCACTTGTACTGGTCAAATCCCATGGTCATGCACACACCTCGGTTTTGACATGGGTTGGAACAGCAAGGATTTGCTACAATTAAAAAGAGGACAGATAACAGGTCACTCTTCAGTGTCTTAATCTTGACCCAAACACTGGTTGCACTAACTGATGGTCAATTTACAAGAATAAATTCAAGAAAAGTAAAGGCAGCCAAAGAAAAACAGTCGAAAATGCCAACTTCTATACTGAAAACTTAGGGTTAACAGAATAGTCAAACCCGGTAAAACGCATCAAGCAAGGTTTTCCTTAGTAACTTTTTGGACGCTGAAGTCAGCATCTTTAAGAAGCTCCAAATAGCACTTTCAAAATGAAAACATCAAAATTGAGGAAACTTTTCAAACGTCTGCTTTAAAAATATCTCGCCCATGTTTAAAAATAGTCTGGGCTTTCCTCGGGCAGGCACCGAAAGCGCGGATCCCAGCGGTGACCGGCGCAGCACCCACGGGCCCCGCACAGGGACCGCTCCGTGCCGCGGGGGCTGGCGGCTCCGCGCCTCCTTCGGGTCCCCGAGGGGCGCACGGCGCGGTGCGCGGCGGTGCGCGGCGCCGGGGCTGGCGGCTCCGCGCCTCCTTCGGGTCCCGAGGGGCGCACGGCGCGGTGCGCGGCGGCGCGGGACTCACCTGCGTGGCTGAGCGCCACCGCGGCGCAGAGCAGCAGGGCGCGGGCGAGCATCTCGGCGGGCGCGGGCGTCCGGGGCGGCGGGCGGAGCTGGGCGTGCAGCAGACGCTCGGCCAGGTCGTTTGACAACTGCACGCTAACGGGGGAAGCCTGCTTTTATGCGCGAGCTCCCTTGCCCACGTGACCATGACGGGTCTTTTCCGCCTCCCCCAATCCTGCAACTTTGTTTCCTCCCCCCACGCCCCCCCCACCCCGGGTTGCGTAAACCCCTTGCGGACAGGACTTTTTTTTTTTTTTTTTTTTTAACCCACGCAAATGAGAAAATCGGAAACCCGGGAATCCGCCTTGGGCCGCCCCAGGTGGGTGCAAAGCGGGTGTCCCGCCGCCCTCTGCAGGACTTCCTGCGCCCCCCGAGGGTCCCGGCGGCTGGGCCACCTTCTGGCCCGCCGCGATTGACTTTCCCGGAGCAGCCGCAGCCTCCTGGCGCCGGAGCGCGTCTGAGGTTCGCGGCGCAGCCGCTTCCGCACGAGGCAGCCCGGGCGCGCGGGCTCTTCGGGGTCTGGGCAGCGCGGTCCCCGGGCACCAGCCGAAGCCCTTGGTGGCCGGACTGTGGCGCGCCGCTGCGGTCCCTCTGCCCGTCCCGGCCTGGCCTGGCGCGCAGGCGACGCGGGATGAATAGACGGAAGGCTGATTTGGGCAGTTTGGGATTTCCTTTTCCTTCCCTTTTGTTTCACATTTGTTTCCAGAGGGTGCAAAGTGAGGGCGAAATACTTTAAACAGCACACACACAATGGCCACAGCAGAGAGTGGAGAATGAAACACTCATTTAAGCCGCACACAGGCTCAGCATTCGTGGGAGAAGATGAAATCCATAATGAAACCACAGCGGCTGTCTCAGTTCCCGGGAGTCTTCCAGGGCAGAAGAGTGGCTGGAGCGCTGTGTGGCCACTGTTGGCCTGGTGTCCACTCGCTGGCATCTGTGCCCACTCGCTGGCCTGGGGTCCACTTGCAGGCCTCCTGTGCACTTGATCTGACCCTCTGAGACCCCAGTGACCAGGGCTCCTGCCCCCTGCGGGCGCCCTGTGACGCCTGCCCTTTGCCAGCCCCTGCCTCCCGCCGGGCTCCCTGGCCTGGGCTGGGATCCTTGCTCTGCAGGCTGCTGGCCCTGTGGAGTCGTGCTGCATGTGTGAGGAGAGTTGGAAAAAGGCAGAGCACTGAGAGTTACCACACTGGACTGCTTGGAACTTAAAAGAAATCGACCTCTGCCTCTCATGGTGGAAATCCAATTTTAAAAACATTTCATTGGATAAGCGACTGGGTTTACTCTGTGACTTCTGTGGCAGGATGGAGTGGAGAGAGTTCCACGTAACAAAGTCGGGAGCGAGTTCCAGCAGAAACTGGGACCTAAAGGCTGGGAGCAGTTTTGAAAGGAAGTCCAAGTATGGGCTTCAGGGGGGGTGAGGGCATTATTATATAATATATTAAATAACTTTGGCAACTCTGAGGCAATAAAACAGATGGGTATGTTTTGAGACAACGGTCACAGGATGGTAAGTGCTCCAGACCAAATCAGGGTAGCCAAACCTATTTTATCCAGAAAAGTACTGTAAGTATCGTGTAGCATCAAAACAAGGTTTTGATTATGTGAAGATTCTAGCTCTCAGTTCTGTATACATTTGGCATTTCTGTGCATATTTCAGGCAAATGTGTCTGTTGTACACAGTTTCTTTTATTGACTTCTGAAGTTGGTTGGGAAATCTTCTGTATGAAGAGAAAATAAGGAGGAATATATATTAAAAAAGAAAAGTCTTCCAGAGCCTTCTGTTGAGTTTTACTGCCCCCTTCTGCTGTCTGAGTTTTTATCTTTTTTTTCCCTAATATTCTGGCCAGATTGCGAGGCAGATTTTGTCTAATGTTACTGCTCCCAATCATTCCCAAATGCGTGCTCCTGTAAGATTCAAGTTTCCAGAATATACTGAAAAGGAATGAACTCTTTATTAACCGAAACTAAGTTACAAGCACTTGAAACCATAGTTTCTTTATCTCCAAAATTCCAAATGAGCTAATGCGCTTCGGAGAGACATTTCCTGCTGCCGGACCGGACCCAGGGTTCTGTCACTCAGAGGCGAAAGGAGGCTCAAATCCTTGCCCTAGGCAAGGAGTCCTTTCTGCTTCCTCCCTTGGTTGACTTTGGGGCTCACTTAGGGGAGAGTGCGCCTGGGCTTTTTTGTTCATGGCATGCTGCCCAGAAAAGAGCTTTGCCATCTCCCATCCGTTGTGCTGGAGAGAGACTTGAGCAAGGTGTGCCACAGAGCACAGCTGTTCCTAGAAGGGCAGAGTGTTGGCGGTGCAAGAGCCCTTTGTTAGTCCTTTAGAAGATTCTGCTTATTCCTGGCTACTCAAAATAGAAAATTTGAGGCTATAACCAAAAAAGCAAATAATTTTAAAATTAAAAAATAGTTTCAAATAAATCAATGACGAAACACCAAACAATGTAAAATTTTAAGCTTCGTATAACATTGATCTTTCTTCTCAACTACATTCCTTCCTCTCTGTCTCTCTCTGTGTGTCTCTCTCCACTTACCGTGATTGTTTATCATGATACTCAGATGGGTCCCTGTCCCCGGCATTTCACAGGGGTGCCCGGGAGGCGGGAGAGTGAGCTGCCTGAACTGGGGAGCGTGGTGAGAACACGGCCACTCGTGACAGAGAGGCTTGGGGTTTCCTGTCTCTGATTCTGCAGGGAAGGAGCTTGGAACTGGCTGCTCCATCCCAACAACAAGTAAAAGTCTGAATAAATTAAGACGCCAACACTCGTAGAACTTTCAGGGAAGTGAGGCAACAAGGCCAACCACTTCCCAAAATACTGGGGAGAACAACTCACTGAAGCAGAAACTCAGAGCAGAAAGCCCACAGAGCCAGCACCTGGCCAGGACAAGCTGAGCTCCAGTGGAGAATTGCTGGGGGATCAGGTAGGACAAGCCTGGGGGCTGGAAACTCCAGAAGCCCCACACTTGGGTGGGCCTGCCTGCCTGGAGCTCTACCAGATTGCTTAGTGACCCTCAGGAAAATCCCCCTGGGCTTTCCAGCAGGGGGCAGGAAAAGGAACTAGGGCAACCAGACTGTACCAGACAAGGTACTTGGGTTTTGTCACAGTCTAACTGAACTGGAAGACAGTAAATGCCCAAGTGCAGCTGTTTCTGGCTGTCCTTGGAAGAAAAGGTACAGCCCCCGTGCAGCCGCCCTCCCCAGCCATGCTGTCCCACCTCAGAGGAGGGAAGGTGGGGACTGAGAGGCCCAGGCTCAGGAACAGGTGAGGCCCAACCATGACACTGCCAGACCCCTCTCCTCCTGCTCCCTCCCCTCACACTGCAGAAGTGCTATTTATTGCAGTTCCTTTCACCCTGTGCATTGTGTCCAGCTTTCAACAAAAACGTAGAAGGTTTAAGACAAAAAATACGGTCTGAAGAGATAGAGCAAACATCAGAATCAGACTCAAATGTGGCTGAGGTTTCAGATTTCTGAGACGATGAATCTGAAACAACTATGAGGCCACTAATGGAAAAGGCCTCAGGCCAGTAATGGAAAATAGACAACAGGCAAGAGAGACAGAGGGCAATTCTAGGAACAAAAACGGAAGGCTGGAGATCAAAAAGACAGTGACAGAAGTGAGGAGTGTCTTTATGGGGCTCATTAGCAGATTGGAATCTGCGACTGGGGAAAGAATAATAAAAAAGAGAAGAGGGAGGGAGAGAGAGAGACAGAGAGAGAGAGAGACAGACAGAGAGAGAGAGAGAGAAGAAAGCAAAAAAGAAAGAAAGAAAAAACTTCCAAACCTAAGAAGCAAAGAGAAGAGGCACTGGAAAAGAGCAGAATGAGCATCCTGAAATACGGGATGCTGGCAGGAGGTGTCCTGCATGTTCCAGCGGAAGACTGGAAGGAGGCGAGAAAGAAGGGGCAGAGCGGTATTTGAAGCAACAGTGACTGAGAATTCCCCCCAAATTATTCAAATTAATGTCGGACACAGAGTCACAGAACCAGGAAGCTCAGAGAACACCAAGCAGAATAATGCCAAGAAAGTCCACACATGGGTGTATCCTATTCTGAAACAAAGAAAAAAAATTCCTGAAGTAAACTAAAGAGAAAAGCGCCTTTGGTGGCACAGCAGGTTTGAGCCACCTCCAGCGATGCTGGCATCCGGTATCAGAACGGCCCCCTTTCTCATCCAGCACTCTGCTAGTATGCCTGACAAAGCAGCCCATGGACTTGGGCCCTTGCCCCTCACGTGAAAGACCCAGATGAAGTTCCAGGCACCTGTCTTTGGCCTGGCCCAGCCCCAGTCGTTGTGGCCATTTGTGAACCAGCAGATGAAAGGTCCTTCTTTCTCTGTCTCTCCCCTTTGTACTTTGCCTTTCAAATAAATAAATAAATCTTTAAAAAGAGAGAGAGAATTATACACAGCTGCTCCTCAGAAACTGTGCAAACCAAAAAGTGGGTGCGATACTTAAAGTGTGGAGAGCGCACCAGGCTAGAACTCTGTACCTGGGAAAGTTGTCCTTCCAAAGTGAAAGAGAAATAAAAACCTTCGCACACAAACTAACACTGAGCAAATTTGTAGCTGGTAAGTCTGCCTCGAAAGAAATGTTAGAAGAAGTTGTTCAGAGAGAAAAGATTGAATCCACATAAAGAAAGGAATAATGTGAGATAGAATAAGTTAAGGAAAACTTGTCTTTTTCTTATTCTTAATATATAACAGTTCTTAAAATGATACAATACTGCGTTCGAAGATCATGGCTTATGTATAAGTGAAAGGAAGGACAGCAATGACACAAAGGACCAGGAATGTATGTTTTGTTGTCGTAAAATCCTTATACCACCCATTAAGTAGCCTTGTATTATCTGAAGGTGTAATTAGGTGAATTTAAATGTGTATTGCAACCTTTAGGGAAACCACTAAAAAAAGGTAAAAAAAAAATAGTACAGTGGATATGCCAAGAGAGGAGAGATTAGAGTCATATAAAGTTTTTAATTAGAACCACAAATAAAAACCAGTGATGGAAGAACTTTCCCTGTCTCCCTTTGTCTCTATCTCTGTCTTTCT